CATGGAGCCCAACATGGGGCTCGATCTCACAACTCTGAGATCATGACCTGAGCGGAAATCAAGAGTTGGATGCTCAACTGACTGAAGCACCCAGGCACCCCAAGACCATATTTTTAATGTTGTTTCATCTGGATTCTTTGGAAGCAACTCTCAGGCTTCATACCATTTCATTCACAAATATTTTAGTGTTTCTAAAAGATAAGAACACTCTTAAAGACATAACTACAACACCATTATCACACCTATAAAATTCACAGTAATTCCTTTATATCTTCAACTATCAAGTCAGTGTTAAAATTTTCCTGATGGTCTTCAGACCCTTTTTTGCTCTGGTTTGTCGGTTCAAATAAGGATGCAGACACTGATCTCAGTTCACGTGTCTCCTAAGCCTCCTCACTGTTTTCTCTTTGCATTGTACTTGTTGAGGTGACTGGGTCATTTATTCTGTACTTTTCCTAAAGCCTGGATTTGCAGCAGGACAATTTTTGTTTGTTTTACTTTATCTGCTTGAAACATATCAGCGTGCATAAAAAATTTTGTTTCAGGTAATTTTTCCTAATATTATGATTAAAGTGTTAAATATTGGCTTTATTTACTGGCCAAATTTTATTTACTTATTTATTTTTAAAGAGAGGGTGCCATTTTAATGGCTGACTCTTGGCAGCTGTCTTATCCAGTCATCATAAAGAGAGTATAGCACAAATCACCACCTCTCTGATCACATCTGTAAAAGTCTATCTGTAAAAATCTATGGAATTCTAGATTATGCAAACTTTTCAAAACCATTAGCATTATTGTTTCAATTTTGTCCCTCTTCCTCATTACTGGGCAGGTTTGTGTTTTGTGTTTTTTCTTTCTCTTTTTTTTTCTTTTTTTTTTTAGAGCGCGAAAGAGAGGTAAAGAGAGAATCTTAAGCAGGTTCCGGGCTCAGCACAGAGCCTGATGCAGGGCTCAATCTCATGAACCCCGAGATCATGACCTGAGCTGAAATCAAGAGTTGGATGCTTAACCAACTAGGCCACTCAGGCACCCCAACTTTTCCTTTTGTTTCTAATTCCACGGATGAATTTCAAGAGGGCAGTAGAAGTTGTAGGATTAGAAGGCCTCTGAGTGAAGGGATCATATCTGTTTCAGTTACTACAGTGTCTCTGATGTCTGACACTGGGCCCTGCACATAGGAGGCAGTCAGTAAATATGTTTCCCACGGCTGAATGAATCCCACCCTTCCTGTCACTGTCCCACCAGACCCCGTAGAGAGGAGAGGTGCAATGTTCAGACATTTTGCATTTGTGCTAGCCACATTCACATTTTATTGCCTGTTCCCAGCTTTTTGGAAAGTATCTGAACTTTGGAAGGTCTTCAGTCTATAGATAATCTGAAATTATTTTGATCACATTGAGGAGACCTAGGACTAAAAGTGAGGAAGATCTCAGAAGTGACAGAAGTGAGGGGGCATGTGGTCAGTCTCAGAGTGAAACTGAAGGGCAACCAAAGCCCAGTCTCTTTGGTTTGCAATTTTTTTTTTTTTTCCAGGATACCCGTTTTTAAACACATCTTTGTTGAGGTATAATTTGTGTACCATAAAATTCACCGATTTTAACTGTACAATTCAGTGACTTTTAGTATATTTGCAGAGTTGTATGTCATCAGTACAATCCAGTATTTCAATATTTTTGTCGCTCCAGAAAGATTTTCATGGAATCACATGGGATATGAAATGTGAAGCTCTGGTTCTTTCATAACGTTCACGTGTGGCATTTGAATCACCTGAGAATGTAGCTTTCACTTGGTTCGTTGCTTGAGTTTATATAAATAAATGATTATTAACTTATGTCTTTTTTTTTTCTTTTTTTTTTTCTTCTCTGTTGGATGGTTGATCTTGAGCCTGCAGGAAGCAAGCTGGCCCCAGACTTCTCCAAATCCACGTTTTTCTTCCTCCGATTCTTACGTGTTATGTCTTTAAATAGTCCTGCTAACTATAAGATTATAGGGCAAGTTTTTTAAAAAAGAATTTGTGCTGGTATCTTTCTTATTTTGGCCTGTTTTACTCTTAATTTTCTAACTTTATATGCGTAACACCCAAGGACAAACAGATACTAATCGATCAAATAATTGATAACATAGTGACAGAATCTGAAAGTACTAGGGAAATAGTGTATGTGAGCACTTTGTTATTCTTTTCTCATTGAATAATTTCTTTTTCTTTTCTTTGGGTTTAGGCAGCCTGGATATCTGGGCCATAACTGTAGAGGAAAGAGCAAAGCACGATCAACAGTTTCATAGTTTAAAGCCAATATCTGGATTTATTACTGGTAAGTGGAAACAGCATTTTTACATTTTTACTTATTAGCAGTGCATATACCTGTGGAAAATCTATTATGCGAAACTGAGGTGGGCACATATGGCCAAGGGGACATTTGCCTTAGCCTTGAGCCTGTATTTTTTCAGTTGCATTTCCTATAATGCATTCAAGCCTCTTTGCATTCCTTAATGGATGTCAAGCCACTTGTTTTGGGCATATCGCTGATGGGAATTGGTGAGAATCAATGTACCACATTCTTTAAGTAATAAAGCAATGGGCTGTGGTCCTTAAATTAAAATGCTTGTTTAATTTTGATCTTGAACTGGTTTGGGAAATGTAAATAAATGAACAGATTCTGAATATTAAAAAAAAAAAAAAAAGCGAACGACAGAATTCTCTCATTGCTGTATCCTTAAAGTTCTTTTTGTACCTTGCCTTATCTATTATCTTTTCTGTTTGGTTACTCTTTAGGAGTTAGCTTTAGAAAAAAAATGGGATCTAGACTTCCTGGGGAGTTGTTTTTATGTGTGTGTATATCACCATTATCTTTAAATTATTAATTGTTAATCACTGATGTGAATCTTGTAATCATTGTTACTTTTTCTCCATAAATGTATCAGATGTACTGACGGTTTGAAGTACAGATATTAGGAATGGCAGAGAACCTAAAAAGTAGAAGTGTGGGGTCATCAGTTTCTTGAGGATTCCTAAATAGACGTGCTTTGTCATATGTCCTATGCTTTGTCATAGCTGTTCCTGTCTTACTAAATAGCAGATTAATTAGAGTGGACAATCTACCCCTGCTAACGTGTTAAGTTCTAAGTTCTAAAGTCAGTGCTGATGGGTTCATTTTACTGCTGCTTATAGGCTTTGGCTTTTATCCTATATTTAATTCAGTATTTGCAGAATTGCCAGCCTCTTTATTATTTTTGCAGTTTTGCTCTAAGAAGATACCGGTCAGCTGTTGTTTGTTTCCTGAAACTGTTTTCATTTAATTTACAGGTGATCAAGCTAGAAACTTTTTTTTTCAATCTGGGTTACCTCAGCCTGTTTTAGCACAGATATGGTAAGTTGGAACTTAACATAAGCAAAAGGTAAAATAAAATATTCCAGTAATAGGATTTCTTAAGATACAGAAGGTGAACATAAATCTCTGGTCTGAAATACTCTACTCCTTCTTAACCAGAGAATACTTCTGAAAAGTAACTTTCTAAGGTGGGACTTTAAAAGAAAAAGTGGTGACATTTGCAAGATAACACTGTCAAAAAGTTGAATTCCCAGTGGAGAAATCTGCACTTCGGTATTTTCTCATTAATTTGTTTTAGCCTTATTTACATCACCCATGCTCATCTGAAAGTCCCGCATTTCTGGCTTTATAATGTAATGGTTCTGTATCTTTCATTGACTAAAAGGTAAGGAAAATATTTGAGGGTTAGTAGCAAAACCACCAGCGGAATAGTGAAATAACTAGTATTTATTACAGTGTTGTACAAGGTGAATGCTTAGTAAATATTATTGAATTCCTGGATTAACTATCACAAATAAGCATTCATTCTTTTGAACCCACAGGAAAGAAGGGCCAGTAAAAAAAAAAGTGGGAAATATAATTGTGGATTTTAAGTTTATGACTTTGGTCATGTCACGCTGAGTTGTGTTGCCAAGAGGTCACATTTTCCCACACAGTGCGGCTTTTGCAGTTAATACTTCATTTCCAGGGTTTATTAGTGTTGGGGAGTCAGCTTGCTGTGCAGTAGAAAGCGCATGGGATTTGTAGTCACACTCCTGAGTTTGAATCCCAGCTGTACGGTGTTCTATCCTTATGATTTAGAGCATGTATTTATCCTCTCTGACCTGTTTTCTCATCTAGAAAAAGGGAAGATATATTTTCCTTAAAGGGTTGTTGAGAACATTAGCAGAGAAACCGTGTATAAAGGACTTAGCATAGGACCTGGTGTGTAATAGGCCCTCAAAACAAAACCCAAAAAGGTACCTGCTGTCGTTGTCAGGGATTGGGTATTCCACAGAACTAAATTGCCCAGCTAATTACTTGTCCCCTTAAATGATCGGCCTTTCTTATAATATGGAAATTAATAAAGATTGACTTAGTTCCTTGTTGCCTTCAAGCAGAGTCTACAGAATGTAGACAGTTTAATTAAAGTATCATCAGTATGAAAATCACTTACTGTGTTCAGAATAGCAAAACTCTCATGGGAAATCTACATACACATATACATACATATATACGCATATATACATACATACATACATATACACACACACACATTTGTATATGGCTATATTTGAATTGAAACTAAATGATACCAGATTCCTGTGCTTTTTTTGGTGTCTGCTTTCTTTTCTCTTTCCTGGTTGTCAGCATATCGGCTGCCAGACTGTCTCTTCCAATTGGTGAGCCTCTTCCTATGATGCCCTTCTAGCTCTTCTGATCTACTTTGAGCTGGGAAAATCAGATAACCAAGGTTTTTGGAATTACTTTTAAAATGAAGTAAAAGGTTTGCAAGGGGTGGGAGAGTGGTGGGGAGAGCAAGAACTTATGCTTATGTGAGCACAGGGGCACTGCTGTGGCAATTGAGTGCCCGAGTTTAAATTCAAGAGACATGTGACATCTGTGTTAACTGTAAGAAGCTTTCATTTGCTTTGTGTTCTGGTAGATGATTGTATTTCACATCGTTAGTCAAGATGACTCACTAGAACCTTCCTTTCCTAGATATAGCTTCCTCCATTGAATTCTGCTTTTGTGCTATATTCCCAATTTATGAACATTCATTCAAGAAGCAGGGTTTGTTTTTTTGTTTTTTTGTTTTTTTTAAGTTTATTTATTTCTTTGGAGAGAGAGAGAGAGCACAAGCAGGGGAGGGGCAGAGAGAAGGAGAGACAGAATCCCAAGCAGGCTCCATGCCATCAATGCAGAGCCCAGTGTGGGGCTTGAACCCACAAACTGAGATCATGGCCTGTGCTGAGATCAAGAGTCAGATGCTTAACCGACTGCGCCCCAAGAAGCAGTTTTACGGTGCGTTATGCTGCAAGAAAATGACACCTTACATTTATCAACAGTGGAAAATATTTATTGAATGTCTACTATGGGTCAGTAACTATTATAGGTGCTTGGGGTACATCAGTGAACAGAATAGACAAAATCCATGCTTCCATAGAAATTGCAGTCTGGTGGAAGGATATATAGTTAATAGCAGTATAAAAATTGCCATGTAGAAATGAGTATAATGGGGCAAAATAAAGTATTATCTAGTAAATTTCATTTTTTTTTGTGCAATTATGTTAGTGTCAGCTTTCCAAACTGTTTTTAGCTAAGCATATTAAAGCCATTTTTCCAACTTACTATTTTTATAGTGAAAATTTGTATTAACAACAAAAGTGATGAATTGGCAGCCTTGGCTTGAGTCAAAACTGTTCTTTGTTTTTAATTTTTTCTGACATTTCATTAAATAAATTTGTGATGGCATGTTTTCCTTTTATCAAGAATTGTTATTAGGGGGTGAGGGAAGCGTGCCTCCAAGTAAGTATCTTTTCCCCAAAGAAATGTCTTTGAGTAATCATAAATTTCATGAACCACAGCTGTCCTGCTAAGATGACAGAATAGCGTAGTGCAAAGTAGGAGTAAGATCTTTCAGCCCTACCACTGACACTTATTTGGTAACCCTGAGCAATACTTGACCTCTTCAGAGTAGGTATGTATGTATGTATGTATGTATGTATGTATGTATGTATGTATTTTTAAAGTTTATTTATTCTGAGAGAGAGAGAGAGTTGAGAGAGGGGCAGAGAGAGAGAATCCCAAGCAGGCCCCGCACTGTCAGCAAGGAGCCCGATGTGAGGATTGAGCTCACGCCGTGAGATCATGACCTGAGCCAAAGTCAGACACTTAACTACCTGAGACATCCAGGTGCCCCCAGAGTTAGGTTTTTAAATGTATAAGCAATAACAGTTGATCTAATGAAATAGTTTTCACTTTCCATCTGTCATGCTATTCTTGTGCTCTCTTGTGGGTTTTGTGGTGGGGTGCCGGGGAAGGTCCATGCCCCTTTTGGTGGAAAGAGGAGTAGGTTTGAGTCTGAAGGTTTGAGCAGTCCCTTTGTCAGTCATGGGGGGGAAGAAGAAAATTTTGGAATTATAATAGTAGCTATCTCTCTGGGACTTACTTTCTTTGCTGTGGACTTCAGTTCGAATACATGAATGATGTGGATTGCTGGGGAATATGTGTTATAAATCTGTATAGGTTTTGTTCCAGGTAGAAACTATATTCCAGTTAACTAGTTTGTGAACTTTTAAAACTGTAACCTACTGATCCTTTGGGGCAACTTACCTATCCAGCCCAATCTCCAATTAACCATACAGGGAAACCTGAATTCTCAGAGGATAGAGTCAAGCTAGTGTGTGTAGTGCCAAAGATGAGACAGCTTCCTAGAAATTGTCTTACTAATAAGGAGCTGGAAGGGATCTGGCAAATATCCTGTATCCTTTTGGCAACTCCAGATGTTTATAGTTTCAACCTTGGCCTCGTGTGGAGAGGGAGGAGAAGAAAGCAGAGGGGAATGGACAGGAGCCTGGATGGTCCAAGAAATAAAAAGAGTTTGAATGAAGAGGGGTTTGACATCAGAAGCAGTAGAGGCCACAGAAATGGGGATTAGAGGCTCCTAAGGAGAGAAATGAGGGCAGGGAAGCCCACCGGGAAGCCCAGAGAGAGAAGACAGGAACCTGGGACCTAAAGGCAAATGTTAGAATGGCTTGGTGATCTATCTCTGCAGCGAGGGGCTTGGGGGCAGGGCCAACAGTTGTATAACATGCAGTGTCTTAGGATACCTCTGTGCCTATGTCAGAAGGGCCTTCCGGCCCCCAGAAAGATCAGTTTGCCAAACTTGTTTACCAAAAACTGAAAAGTCATCCTGAATTTCCATTCCCTCCCCTGCATCCCTTCTCTCTCCTCCCTCCGTTCGTGGCACTGAGCGTCTGTCCAGCTCCTGGGAGCCCGGCGTGATTCCTCTCTTTTCCTCGCCCTCCACATTCAGTCCATCGGCGCAGCCTTTTGGCTCCATTTACAGACCTTATCCCCAATCTGGCCATTTCTTTCCGTTGCCATTGCTGTTGTCCTAATTTGTCTTCTCACTTGGGCTCACTGGTCAGCATTTTGACTTAGAGTCTCTTTCAAACTTGCCCCTTTAGATTTCATTCTTCATGCAGTGCCCACACTATCTCTGTGAAAAGTAAATCTATTTTAAATTCCCCATTGAGAAGAAAATCTAAAGTCCTATCAAGGCTCCAAGGCCCAATACTAGCTGGCTCTTGCTTTTTTCATCTTTAATTTTCCACCCCTCTCTTCCTCAATTTTTGTATTCCAGTTTCACTGACCTTTCTGCTTAAACGGGCCAGGCTTCTTCTTGACTTCTGGATCATTGCACGTGGTATATCCTCTTCCTGTAATACAGTTCCTCCGGATCCTTACATAGCGAGCTGGCTGATTACCCTTCAGGTTTCAGTTCATATGTCACCTCATCTGAAGTAGTTCCCTCTGCCCACCTGTTCCTACCCACCATCTTCTCCCTCCCACTACCTTGTTTTAATTTTTTAACAGCAGTTACTGTCATGGGGTATCATTTGATTAGTTCTCTTGTTTAGTGTCTGCTTGCCCTAAAATATTAGCCCTGTGAGGGCAGGAACCTTCTCTGTCTCTTTCACAATTGTGACACCAATTCCTAGAAAGGGCCTGGGCCTTACTAGGTACCTCTCTTCAAAAATTATTTGTTGGATTAATAAAAAAAAAAACGAATGAATGAATCGATGAATCAATGAATGAATGAGTAGGCTGAATTGATCTACACTGTGAGAGAGGAGCATTCTGTGAGAAGCCTTCATGAGTGCAATGGGTCCCCAAGGGCCACAGGCTTTCACCTCCATGCAGTGAATGAGGTGAGCGAGGAGAGGTGGTCTTATCCTTTAATCCTAGAAAACAAAGGAAGTACTTTCACAACTGCCACACTCATGTCCACTACTAACACAGTCCTTGGAATCCAGGATTGAGTGCTTCATGGT